CTAGTAACAAGAAGCTAGTAGTAACAAGTGCCTTACTAGTAGTAACAGGTGCCTTACTACTAGTAACAAGAAGCTAGTAGTAGCAAGTGCCTTACTGCTAGTAACAAGAAGCTAGTAGTAACAAGTGCCTTACTAGTAGTAACAGGTGCCTTACTACTAGTAACAAGAAGCTAGTCAGCCCGGACGCTTGTGATTCACAGTAACTACTACTCAGACGACCACTACGACTACTCCCACTACTATCTCTATTCTCGTGGCCATTTGAAAGGTCGCGCGGTCCTGCGACTCGGTCAGGGTGCAAACTGGCTGCAAGGGGATACCGAAGCTAGACTCGAATTCTCCTAAGGGTTCAACATGTTCAACTCAAGTCAGGTGTACACGATCATATCATGTATATCAAGGCTTATTTAGACATGCAAGATCTCCAACCATATCAAGCTGGTTTCTGCTTTGGTGATTCTCCACAGGCTAGACGCAAGTGCATCATCGCCTAACTGTTGTCTTGGCCTTTTCCAAAGCATTCACAGGCCTCCCAGCATGGTGCTGCTCGTGGCAACGAGGCGAAATATAGCTCTTGAACCTTGGCAGAGGACAGCGTATGCAACGAAAGAGATGCATTTCAACATTAAAGGTGGCAAATTACGGTCTGCTTGCTCTCCTGGCTTTTTGCTCTTGTTGCCTAAATTTTGAAACAACCCGATGTGAAAGTCAAGCCAAACAAAGCACCTAAAAACAGCAGCCTGCCAGCGCATGCCAAAGCACACAGGGCGGATGTGATACAGGACACGGCAAAGCAACGTATAGGGAGCTCTCAGTCTCCGTGCCCATTCGTCAATGTCCACAGTCCTTGGATCCCAAAGTGCGTCAGGTGGAATAAACGATGGATTGACTCTTTTGATCTCTTTTGATTGGTGGTTGTTTTCCTCGCATTGTTTCGTGAGTTCAACAGCTGAACTCCATACAGGCCTTGCAATCTTGCATCAGGCATAAATAGTTGTAGCTTGATTCTTTACGTTCCCTTGAAAACAAACAGTACTGACGCGTGTTTGCCACAGGCCTGATGTTCGGCTTGATGGTTGAGGTAATCAAACGTGCCATGGAGGCCATCGCTAGTAGGTTGGAGGCCATTCCTATTAGATCTTATGATCTTATGAACGAACTCTTTACCCATCACCGACTCGCCACGCGGTCGTTCTTCGCCCCGCCTTTTTCATCCGAGCGTCATGCTGCCATCCGCCCGCACTCGCCCGACCACAGGGCCTCGTTTGATGGGCGATTGTTGCGCCCAAGTGATGACCTTCGTTCTGGTCTCTCCGTTTCTATAACGGCGCCTTTCAGCATAAGCTTGATCATAGAGTCATAGGGGCTATTGATCAACACCATGAAACATCGATTTTGGACACGCACATGCTCCCATTGGTCACTTGTTTCTTCTTTTGCAAGTCGCGGCGATTGTTGGTCAGGCAATGTGAGGCCAAGACCATCCAAGTCCAGGTCGGGCAACACCAGGCGAATCCTGGCTGCTCACGCTCCAGTGATAGCATCGTATGGGATCTGAGGTGCATTGCTAGGTGCCGTTTCCTAATAGCAATGGCCTCCAACCCAGTAGCGATGGCCTCCAACCTAACAGCTGCTTGGTTCCATTTCCTCCTTTACTTGAAGATCTCCCCATACTGCACAGGTCAGTATCTTTCTTTCACTTTTGGTGCCGGATTCCCCAAGCTGCTGCGTTTGGACTCACCCCCAAACAGCATTCGTTGTGTGTCCCTCTGTGATAAGACAGGTAGTCCCGAAAACTGTAACTCCCTAGGGACCTCGGGCTTCTCCACTTGGTGGTCACCAGGCTTTGAAGAGAACGGCTCAGTTCCCCCCTTCTTCACTCCCATGAAATGCAAAGACTTGTTACTAATAGCTTCTTGTTACTACTAGTAAGGCACCTGTTACTACTAGTAAGGCACTTGTTACTACTAGCTTCTTGTTACTACTAGTAAGGCACCTGTTACTACTAGCGAGGCACTTGTTACTACTAGACGGCTCACCCCACAGCGTCTCGGAAGTCCAAACACTCCTGGATGCATCCGCTGTGCACCAGTAGCCATCGATCTCAGCGACGTGCGACGCGGCGACGCATGCGACAGCTTGTGGAGGTGCTTCAGGACCCGTTTTGGAGATCCCGCCTTTTCAAACAAATGTTTTGAGACATTGTGCAGTACATAGACCTTCAGTGACCCTGGCACCTCGTCGGACACGATGACCGTCCGGATTGCTTCGGTTTTGCTCGCATGGACAGAATACCCGACGCTAAGAAAGAACAGAAGCATACCAGACGAGATGGACGCAGTTTTGCTGACACGCCTCGAAGCCCCTCCTCCGCTTGGCAGGTGGCGCCTCCGCAAAACCGGGGTCTATCGAAGGTGCTCTCCATGGTGACCCGAAAGGACCTCCTATTCGCCCAATAGCAAAAGGAACCTAAGAGCGATGCATTCCTACATAAGCTGGCGAAACCCAGTATCAATGCGTCCATGTGTCCAACATGTAGATGCTGCCTGCGGTTGTTTTCCTACAACTCTGAGGTCCTACAAAGGACCTGTTGGGTCCAAGAAGTGCCTTTTTCCCACGTCAATTGAGCGTAAGCAAAACTTCGTTCCCAAAGTTGCGAGGCTCAGAACGCCCTTAAGATGTACGAGTTGTTGTTGTTGCTATTGTGCTGGAAGCTAATCGGCAAAAGAGCCCAGCCGACAAGTTCAAGGCGTTTCAAAAGCTGAAACAACTTGGCAGTGTTCAAACACACATGATCTTCACCGAGGGTGAAATGTGTCTCGAAGAATGTTTCGTCCTACAGGGTCTTATAACATGTGGATGAGCCTTGGTCGAATTAAAGAGTCCGTTTCGCGCGGCCGTGGGACGGTCCATTTTTCACCCTGTCATTTTATAACAATGATATAGCTTTGGAGGGAGACAATTCGACTGTGTGAGCAGATTCTACTGATGGTTTATCTGTACGTTTCAAGAAGAACTTTTGTCCCAGTGGTGGGGGTGCTTTCCCTGCTTCGGACTATGAGAAGAGTGTCTAAAGATCACCAGAAATGCCTCCCACCAGAAATGCCTCCAGCTCCTTGTCTCGTCGCCCTTGGAAACGGACTTGGCGAATGGGTTCAGTATCGAAAATGATCACCATCCTGGTGTGGCTGGCGTTGCGATTTCCAAACCTGCACCTCTTGGCGCTTCCAGAAGTGAAAGGTACAAACGATGGTGGCATGGATGCAGCAGATTTGATTCTCTATTAAACATCCCGGGCTACTAGGAGTGATCGGACGCGACCCCTTCACCGACGTCCGGTCGGACGGCGACAGACCCATCGGATGGAGGTGGACGTCGTCCGAGTGGCGCTTCAGCAGCGCGAAGGCCTCGTCCTCGTCGTCCACCTGATTGGTCGACCGCTCCGTTCAACAAGGCGTTCTTTGGGAAAAGTGGAACGAGAAGTTTGACTTCAGGAGCGATCGGACGCTACGTTCGGGGCTCCTGGCCTTGCCACTAGGAACAAGCTACTAGGGGCCCCTGGCATCGCTACGAGGAGCAAGGACCCTAGTAGGTTGGAGGAAGTTTGACTTCAGAACAGGAGACTCAAGAGACTTGTTTGGAAAGCCGGTCAGTCACGGAGGTATGGGTTGCTGATTTCGAACTGAGAGCTAGCAAAAAAGCTAGCAGAAGTGGATTTCAAAAATCACTGGAAGGGTGGTGCCCCACCTTTTTGGCGGATTCTTAACTCCTTATTCCCTTTGTATATACGCTTTGACTGGACCTGTCTCAAACAGGACGACCCCACCACGAAAAAGATGAACCTCATTGGTGGGAGCATGCCCTCAAGAATGCCTTGACCCCAAAGGAACCACTCTAATAGCGATGGCCTCCACCCTCCTTACTGCTAATGAGAATGTTTTTGAAGGCTTTGAGTTTTGGGTGTCTTTGTCACTCCTCTGTTTTCTCCCGGCATTTCATTCTTCCAAACTCTCTTTCCTTTACGATCTTTCGATTCCATCAGTTTTTCTTAACACCAAACATCGTTTTCTTCATTCCTTTTTCAACGTCACGACCCCTTATCGCTACTTTCAATGTCAACAAAGCACAATGAACCAAGACCCATGAGCCTCAGCGAGAGCTTGGGTGACCTCCTCATGCGTGAAGCCTGACGCCTTGTCCGCAGGGCTTAGCCGGAAGACTCTTGTTGACTCGGTGAAATAGCCCCAAATACCTTTTTTGGGGTAGTAGCTTAAGTTTCCCTAAGAATCTAGGAACCAAATGAAAAGTGCCAGCGCTTCTTCAAGGAAGCTCTCCGCCGCCTTTAGGTGATTAAAGGCATTTACTGGTGATTTTCCATTCTTCAGAAGTCTTGGTCTTGGGATGTAAAAAAGGCAGTGAGCATTGCTGGCAGGATTCGTGATGGATCTGTTTGTGTCAAAAGAGAACGCTGGCATCGGTGTCAAACAAATGTGGCCACAAGAAAGGAAGGCTCGACGGGTTGCTGGAACGCTAGAAGTCAGAAGTTGTTGAACACCCTGACCGGTCGCATGGTCGCTCATTACCGTCTGGCGCCTCCAACCATGAGATCTCCTGCACCGGCGAATGGGTGGACCGTATACTGGACACAGACCGCTGACGGACCGCTTCTTCTGTGGGCTCTAGGGAATGGAAGGACACAGAGGTGACACGGTGGTCTGAAGGTCTGAAATCACCTCTTGACCCGAATTCCGGTCTCTAAGCTTGCATCTACGTTTTTTATCGCTTTGCCACAAGCCTTAGCTGATTGAAATGCGTTTCGGATGCCACACCCTGCTCCTTAGTTGGACAAGAAGCGGCAAAGCTTCCAGTATCCATCACTGACAAACACCAAGGAGTGTCTTCGACTTCCCGGAATGATGTTTTCCATGGCTTTTCTCATCGCAAAAACAAAACGTTCCCACAACCTCTAGAAACAAGAAGCTACTAGTAGCTCCTGGCATCGCTACTAGGAACCCGGCACCGCAACTAGTAGCAAGGACACTACTAGTAGCTTCTGGCCTTACTACTTGGAACAAGAAGCTACTAGTTACAAAGGGCATTGCTAATAGTAGCAAGGACGCTACTAGTAACCTCTTGGCGTTCTTTTTCCCCTGCGACATCTGGTGGCCACGGGTGGCCGTCCACTGCCTGCTCCCCGGTGACACATGACATGAGGCCCTCGGATGAAGTGACATCAGTGGCTTTTCCCAATGAAATCCCTTTTCACCAGTGGGAACAACCAGGATCACAGCTGGATTGGTTGACCTTCCTGATCGTGCACACTGGAGCTTGGCGAAAAATGTGAATAGCCTTCTGGATGCAATGAACCAAGGTTCACTTCACTGTGCCCTGTCCAGGGCACCATGTCCCTGCTACCCACCTACAGCTGGAATTTTGGGGTTCCGGGTTCTCCACAACGAACACCTGGGTGAGAACTACTGCTGACACAAGCAAATCGATCACCTGGTCAAAGTTCCGATCAACGTCTGCATAGAGTCTGTGCCACCAGTCATCTCATCGCTATCGACCTTCCCTCTTCCCATCTCGGTGCACAGATGAGAGAATTGAATTCGCTTTTCCAATTGTCCGCAAGGGACTTCACCATCCTCCAGCGAAAGAGTCTGCCAAGGGCTTTAGAAAAACAGAGCAAACGAAACCAGTTTCCTGCCATGTAGGCCCAGCCCAGGAGATAATCAAGAACCCCACTGGTTGCTGTCCTCTTGAGGATCTGGAGGACCTGGAGTCCAACCCGGATGTTGGAGAGATCGACTACGATTCGTAGTGAATTCGGCTGTCAGAGCATGGGCCTTTGCATCTTTGCCGAACCTCTGTAGAAATCAACAACAGCAAGCAAACCGACAAGCTGCTACCAGCTAGTAACATCTTGGTTTTCACATCTTAAACTTTTACGATCAACAGCTGGGAACTTCTTTGCCGGAATAATCATTCATTTCTACACTCCCACAGGGGAGTGTAAGCCGCCCTTCTCTGCCAGCCTCAGGCCATTCCAGCCTTCTGTGACCGGACATGCATCGTCAGCTCTTGGACTGTTACGAGCTGCAGGACGACGTCACACGAGGTGGGTGCAAAGCAGACATCGGATTCGGGCGGCATCATTGCTATGGCACGTTTTCCATCTCTTGACATGAAGGCAGCTTTCTGTTTTGAGTTTGTTTCTCTTTATGTCCACTCTAAATGCATAGTGAGTTAACAGGGGGAATGGTCCTTGGAACGCGGATGGTCATCACGGAACCTGAAGGCAGTAAACTGTAAACTCCAATAGAATCCCTGTGTCCGTGTTAAAGCAACCAGGGAGCAACTCAAGTGCCCATGACATGAACTTGAAGTCTCTGTCATGTTCTATCTTGAACTAAAACACCCAGGAACCCAAGATTTCTCGTTTGCGAGTCACCACAATCCACACCGCAAGCAAACCGAATCCACTGTTGATACACCTCCGTCCGCTCATCACAGCGAAACAAACCTGTCAGCATCGGAGTAGCCTTCCAGCAAAGCAAGAGCTGCTGAGTCATGAACCTAAGATGGGGATTTGCATCGCACAAGACGGAGCACAGTGCATCGCTTCTAGTAACAAGTGCCTTACTAGTAGTAACAAGAAGCTAGTAGTAACAAGAATTAGAATGTTCAGAATTGAAGACTTCATTTTTTGATTTTGCAGGAGGGGAAGGCCGCTAGAACAGGTAAGAAGAGGTGGCTAGTGGAAGCGCTTGCACTATTCATTTGGTTCCTAGATTTTTAGGAAAACTGCTAGATTCACAAGACTTCAATGTGCATAGTGGGTTGGGGGTTTTGCTCTTTTGCAATGGACGCCGCTGTGAACACTTGTCATGATTTGTAATGCTTGTGAAGGGTATTCTTATGCCTGTGCATAGAGATCACCAGTTAAGTCTCATCTTGCTTGCCTGCCAGGCTGCACACTGCTCGAAGGCAGTGAGAAAGCCTGCGATCCATGTCAAGCACGGTGAGAAGAAACTTTTGTTTCAGCTAAAACACTTCTGAACGCCTGCAAGATTCTTTTGGATGAGTCATAGGTGATCCCCAGAATGATATTCCCAAGTACCGTAAGTTCAAGGAACTTCTCAGCTTGATCAATCCTCTTTTTGATGACCCAATGAAGGCCCGAACGCTCAGAGCTGAATGGATTTTGCGGAACAAAAAGGAGAAAAAGAGAGAGTAGTAACAAGTGCCACGCTAGTAGTAACAAGTGCGGAACAAAAAGGAGAAAAAGAGAGAAGACACTCGCAAGAGCCATCTTCGACAACCATCGTGGAGGGCATCCATCATCTGGGTTCGGATAGACGATCAACAAGGGGTTTCTCAGGATCAACAGTATGTCAATTTATGCGATGTTTTAAACGTACGTATTTCCATATGTATTCAATATAATATGTATTCTATTTTTTTCAGTTTCCTGCCAGAGACGGAAGCACAACAAACTCTAATATTTCTGCTTTTGTTCTGGGATCTCCAAGAAACCTTTCAACAAAGCCACGAACTCCTCGGACTTGGCATCAATCTGTGCATTCCTCACGTGGATCCACTACTGGGCGACAGGGACGCAAAAGGACACCCCTTCAGGTGATTGATTCAAATTGTATGTCTTTTTGAAGGCAAACCTCTATTGAATTTCTAAACATCTTATTTCCATTTGCTTCTTTTTTCATCTCCTTCTCCTAGTCTATCCAGGGTACTGCTGCTCATCTAGCATAGAAACTTTGAGCTGTTGGGCCCTCACTCACACGTTTCCAGTTGAGAAATTCATGGAATGCTGGGACACGACGTTCTACAACAACCCTGCAAACAACGTTTGAAACCAACCCCATGGGGACGACCACCGGAGGGTTCTTGAAACCAACCCCGGGAGTTGATCTGACACCTGCTGTCGCCGTCGCCAAGTGTCAATGAGGGCCCCCGGTCCAAGAATGCCTCAATCTTGCGCAGTTCCCAAGCCAAACCCTGGACTGGGCAGGTTACATGATGTATTTCTTTTCTGTTCTCTAGGATTCTCCATGTCTTCTTCTTCTTCTTCAAGCTTTCTCTTCGAAATCAAAGGTGCTATCTTGAAAATGGGCTGCATCCCGTGCTCAAAAACCTAGAGAAACTCGTCAGAGACAAAGATTGGATGCTGGGAATCTCAGAAGCTTTCAACATTCGGCTACCGTCTTTCAGATATATGATATATAGTGGCAATATGTTTCAGTTAGGAGCAAAAGGCAGTGAAGGTCAAGGGGTAATTGGTTGAGGGATAGTTGAGGGATAATTAGAGGCAGTACGTTCAGCAGGGGGGTAGCGAAGGACATGACACCACCGTGCTGTGCTTCCCTAAAGTCTAGGAACCAAATAACTGTTGCGAGCGCTTCCTTGAAGAAGTGTGAGATACTGCGTGAGATATCCTGCATCCAGTAAGTAGGAGCGTCCAGTAGCTAGGAGCTTATTCCCTCACTTAATTAAGCACCTACCTAATTAAGGGTGGGCTGGGCTAAACAAAAACATAAAGTTAGTTAAGGCCACACGGCCACCAGTGGCTTCGTGCTCCAAGTGGTGAGACCTCTATCGAGGAGCACCTATAATTTATCTATATTTAAAACATTGTTGGAGGTACCAAGCTAAAATCATGGACGGGAGGGCGTGCGTATGGGTAAACGTATGTGCGGACGTATGTGCGGACGTATGTGCGGACGGGTGTGCGGATCACTCATTTAAAGTGCACGTATGCACGAACGTGCGCGCAGACGTGTAGACGTATGGACGGACGTATGGACGGACGTGTGGACGGACACATGTGACATGCATGTGGATACACATTGCCTGGTCAAGTGCAAAGACGTTGTAGTAGTGTCAAGCCAGGGTCCAGGGTCCAAACATGCTGGTGTACTTATGAGAGTTTAGTGCGTGAATGTAGCATAAATCTCTGCGGACTGTTGCAGCTACTCTACCTTTTTTTCGCACGATGCGATTCCCGTCTGTAGGTCAGATATCATGACCGGCATCTATTTGCTAGTCTGTCTGTCAGAGTCATTGCAAACAGAAAACACAAACACCATCACAACTGTGAATCTGAAACAGAAAAAACTTTGCTGCGCCCGGTGAACTATCATCTATGTTAATGTCTATTGCTTAACATTATTACAATTATGATTGAAACTTAGTGAATCTGAACCATAATTGTTTTGAACATTCTTATTCAGACTCTCTCCGGTGACATCACATTCAATGTGAATGTCGGGTGAGACTTGCGACCATGCTTTCGATACCTTCGCGCTCTTCTACCTCCGAAGGAGACACCAGCCGCAAGGATGACAGAACTGCCAGGATCACTGCGCAAAGCACATTGCCAGCAAAACTCGGTCAAAAATCAAGAAGATAGAAAGTGTGGTGTTGGAACTACAAAAAATCAAGTCATAGGCATAGGTCGCAGACGTCATGAGGCGTGAGTCATGGATTCATGGACTCAAACATCTTGGCTCTTAGATAAAAGGTTCTTTTGACTCTTTGAGTTGACTATTTGTGACTGCTGCTGTTTCACAAAACTTTTGCAGTCAGGTAACGCATTGCCTGCCAAATTTGAGAAATGCGACTCTTCAAACGCGTCGAGCTGCTCACCGGTTGGCGTGTGACCTTGTAAAGTCAACATTTCTCTTCCAAGAATAAGTCTGCGGCGTGAAAATGACCATGTAATCGACCGTGGGAGCACGATTGGGACCATTGACATTCCCACGTTGTAGCGCGTGCAACTGTGGTATATGTCAGCGAATTGGATGTCTGACTTCTTCTCGCGAATGCGGTCATCGCAAACAAATGCAAGCACCTGGGAAATATAGGTCCGCAACAGAATCGCCACATACATACTGGTTGCGGAAACAGTGATTGCATAGAGACATTCTTACAATCAGACTCATAGTCTATGATTTCAGCGTTTGCCAAGGCACTTCCTTTGCTCGATCAGTCAGAACACAGAACCATGGAGATTCAGCAACATCGGCAGGAACAGCCACCGGCCATTGAATGCCACCTTAAGTGACATGGATTCAGCAGAGTGGCGCCGACGGTTTTGTGGCGCCTGTTGAGAGTTTGTTGATTCATAGGCTAGGCGGGTTCATAGGCTTTTAGATAAAGCAAAACAAACTAAACAAACAATGTTAATATAAAAAGAAACTAGACTACAAGTATAGCGACACTGTACCCAAGATAGCTCTTCTTTCACCGGACTAAAACGTACTGTAAAACACTTGAAACAGCCAGAACAATACCCAAACAGGAATCAAGAAACGTTTGTCTGCTTGGGTCATATGCAGGCTTATCCATCCTGGTGTCTTCTCATCCGCCTGTGCCGCTTGTTCCTCTTGCTCCTGCCGCTCCCCACTCAAACGATCCAAGTGTGCCATGACAGCTTCATCATCATTGTCCAGAAGCAAATCCTCCTTAAACACCGAAGCGTGCATTGAAAGACCCGTGGTATTGTTGATATGATATGATTGTTTAATATATAGTCTTAGTCTATAGTTTATAGTCGCCATATCATAGTCTATAGTCTATCTATGTACTAGAGTGTACAGTATTGAAGTGAAGTAAGAAAATGGAAACCCTGTTTAAAACCAAAAGAACAAACTGCAAAACAAAGGCTTTCCAAAACAGACATGATTCAACTGCAGGAGCTTTCAGGTAAAGCTTTTGCAGGAGCAATCTGACATTTGCGAAGAAGTCTTTGGCATTCACAGACACAGCTGGGTGCTGCACATTGAGGCATATGATGTAGACCCGGTTTCGGCTTTGGGGCAAGCCGTACCAGCAAGCGTTCAACAAGAAACACTCAGCACAATAGCCAGCGTCCATGATATCCGCCAAGCAATAGTCCAGGTTTGTTTGCCTTGGAGTCACAATTGATGTTTTACTTTGATATGTAATACGATACGGAGAGACGATACTATTTTTAAAAATATGAATCATGAAGTGTCAGTTGGCATAGACTGAACACATCTTGACTCAACACCATGGAATCTGCACGCCACACTTGGACAACATGTAGAGGATCTAACATCAGAAGCCAAGAAGCGTATCATCGTCTACCTCCCGATCAATGGCTGTCACATTCTCGAACACTGCCCACATTGGCTTGGTTTTGTCGAGGATTGTCAAGCACCCATGGAATGTAGATACACTGGCGACTTGTCCCTTCAAGGTTTTGCACGCAGTTCAAACACGAGAGAAGACATCATGCCATGTCACAGACACAATGTTGTCTCACCTCTCAAAAAGACCAACCAAAAAAGAATGCTGATATAAGTAAGTAGCCAACATTGCTCACACTTACATAATGACGATTATAAATATACAATAGGCTATAGGTGTGTTTGTTTGTTTGTTTTTATCTATGTATGTAACTAACGTACTGTATGTAACATTGATGATTGTATGTATGTTTGGTATGTATGTATGTGTGTGAGCAGTATGTCGCTTAGTGTTGTCATATAAGCTTTGACTTCCAATCTAAAAACTAATGTCAGTGATAGGCAGGGAAAAATGAATGTTTCAACCTGCGCGCCTCTGTCCCCTCAGGCTCTTCACTTTTTGCCTTTGCATTTTTGGCTGCCGCCATTGCCCCAGCATTTGCCCCCGCTGATTTGTTCAAACTGGAGTAGCTGGTACAGCTGAATCCGGCAGCAAAACAATCAACTTCTTCAGGAGCCGGCAGATCGCAATTGTGTCTGTGCCTAACACACCAGCGCTTGGAGTCATCTTGAAGTTGAGTGACATCCTGGGCAGGGAAAGTCCCAAGGCGCCAAAGAATCAGTATCAATAACAAGTAGAAATAGTAGCAGTGTCAGTACGCGTTCAAGTCTCCAAAGAATTGGGTACTTTGACCACACTAGCTTCATACCTGCAGCTTTAAAGTTATTAGATTAGTAGTATCAGTATCAGTATTGGTAGTTGTATCGTTTTCACCCATGTCCATGTCATCATACCATCCCACACACAGAGGTCAACACAGAAAAAAAATTGGGTCGCACCTTGTATACGCAAAAGGTTTCGCGCTGGTTCTCTGGCACAGAACGCGTGAGAAACTCCTGTTTGAATGCCACTGATTCTGCACCAAAAGAGCACTCAACTCCTGGATCCTGAGCAGAATAATGAACATAAACATGCGACATGTGATCAAACAGAATAAAAAACAAGGCATAAAGTACACACCATTCATTGCCAATATAAAATGCACCACATACTTGTGCAACAATTATGTAAATAAAGTATATATTTATATTTATATTTATATTTAATATAAAATATAAATATAAATATAAATAATTAAAATATAAAATTATAAAATACAAATATACTTATTCAATTCCGAGATGCCTGAAGACGGAAGATAGATCTCAAAGCAGACTGTGCATTGTCCATCACTGTCTCAAACCTCATTCGCAGAATTTAGCATTTCAGACTAACAACTTTGTCAAATATTTCAAATATTTCAGGATCAATTTTCTGTGTTTCTAAACAAACAGTATCAGTTGTCAGTATCATATTTACATTGACAGTGACATTGACCCATTAAAAATATGGTCAAGTAGCGAACCGGTTCCACTGCACGCAGACGCCACAACTGTCGAGTTTTGGTTGTAATCGCTCTGGCTGGACAAGTTGTCATAAACAGTGGAACCTGGAGTTTCGCAGTGGTGCTTGAAGATCAAAGCTGCCATAGCCTTGCGCTTCAGAAGCTACAACTTAGGTGACTGTCAACAGCACACACACACTAGCAGATTTGGTCCGTTAATCAACTTGAATCAAGAAGCTCTAGAGCAACTTCCATACATGTCATCACGCCGTGGGTAGGCAGCAACCACATCAGCTACGAATGCTTGCATTTGGTTTGTATCCTCTGCCCTGCCATACGCATCAACTCTTGGCCCCTTCCAAGTACAAGATGC